AGTGTCTCCATTTCATTCCTAGGTTCGATGGATGTTCTCTCTGATGTGTTGGTACCTTTAGATGTACCCTTCTCTTTCTTAGGCTTACTCTTCACATTCTCTTTGAGTCTGCCTTTCTTAACCTCTTTCTTTCGAAAAAACTCTCTGTCAGACTCATCTGAATCTGAATCCTCGGTACTTTCAGATGGTTCATCAGCTGATGAATCCTCATCTGAGTCGCTATCTGCTTCTGAAACCAGTAGATCTGCAGCAAATCTATCACGGTGCAAAATTTTCTCTGCTGTGGAAGTTACTTTATTGACTGGAAAAGCTTCTGACAAGTCCCTATCAGGTTCTTCGGCCATGATACGTGTCTCGATGTTAATACGTAGGCTGTTGTAGATTCCTTTCCAAAAATAACTTGCATATTCTTTGGCTGTTAATTTCTTGGCTTGTTCTAGCCATCCGGCTATATGAATGAAACCTCTTACATACTTCTTCCAAGCAGTAAGGTTCAAAATTTTCTTCTCTCGTGTTGTCCGTACGTAGGACAATAAATCTTTTCTCCTAGATTTCTTGGTGTCTAGGTCTGCATCATAATACTTCAAAATGTCAGCTTTGAGCTCTTTCCAATTCGAAGATCTGAAGCTTGCTAGTCCTTCAACAAATTCGGTGACGCGTCTGGACATATACTGAGTAATAGTTTCACATTTCTCTTGATCAGAGGATACACAGTTATAATCACACAGTTTCTCGTAGTGTCTCAGAAAGTCCTTGACTTCTGAATAATGCCCCTTGAACTTGGCAGGTGCTGCCTTGGTTCCTGGAATGGGCATCATTAATACTGATAATGGGGTTGCATACGACATGATGTGTGTGGCTTTGGTTGACTGATACAATGGTACTGTACCTGGTACAGTTGGCGTGGTTTCCACAATACTGGGTGGAAAAATTCAGAATATGATGGGGGATTGTGCAGTGTGCACTGAATACGATGTAGGGTTAATCAAAACAAAGAAAAGCCACCCTCGCGGTGGGCTCCAGTGATGTCTTGTTACTTGAGGGTCTTATATAGAAGCGTGTAAAAATGCAGTGACAACACAACTACACTTTCATAAGACAAAAGTTGCCAGCTCCTCAAGTTCATGGTCAACGTATTTTCTACTTCTCGGTTGATAACATGTTGTTCGTGGGTGGTCAAATAGTAAACAAGTTACCTCTCCTTTGCTTGATTTCTGTATCTGAACAGAATAACCCTGGTGTTCTGCTATGAATATAAATCTGTTGGGTATGTTTCACCCTAGTAGGTCGTGTTTCAACCTATGAAAGTCTGTTTCAACTTTGTCGTGTTCTCCTGTTAGGTGTCTCACTTCCTGTAAAAGCAAGATTGCTGACTAGAATATGTAATACTCAAATAAAACAAATAGATGGTTGTATAGGTTATCCCTGTAAGATAGTATACAACTTGATTGACAAAATACGATGGTTTTCAAAGGTAACTCGTAGACCTTCACTTTCTTCTGGATCTCACACGTTGGAGACAGAAAGCGGGAAAACTCCACACTTCAGATTCTTACGTTCCTCACGGTTGGGAACAAGAATGGAAAGGGAAAAACTTATTTTATTTGGTAAGATTGGTGTCCTTAAATACATTTTGGAAACCCTCCTTACTAAGCATGACTCATCACTGGATTGGTAAGAATATGCTTATAAACCAAGCCTTTTGGTGTGCTGAATCAGCTGCTTACTAAAGTACATGAATAGAATATTACAAAGCATGGGGAAGAATTACAAAGCATGACGAATCAATGACAAAAAATGATGAGTCAAGCTGAATCCTTACAAATCAGATTTTTACCAGTCACATGACATGCTTACAAACATATCTGAGTGGCTGAATAAGCTTAAAAAAATGGAAAGAGGCAGAAACAAATAGAAACCTATAAATACAACTAAACAATACGAAACTTAGCTTATGATAGTGAGAGGTATATTCTTGTACACTTTCCTATTCATCTCCATTTATGTATGTCATGGTATGAAGCGTATAACATGCATGACAGCGCATCACTGGGAAAAAATGAGATTATGAACCAGTGAGAATGTCACACGAACCTTATATTCCAAACAGATTATCACTGTATTTTGACCACACAACCGCGAAATGACAACATGGTACATATTCTGATATCCTCATGTCATTTCCACTGCATTTTAACATATAGTACCATACTTCAATGAATGCATCAATTGCTTACATAAATTCAAAGTTGAATGTTGAACCCTCTGCCCCAACAAACGGTCCTTTCTTGCCTTCGGCGGAAACGAGAAAATGCCTGTATCTAGATAGAGTACAGATAGAAGAACCAATCATACCAAAACTGGATACGAGCAAGTACATCTGCCTAAGTCCAAAAAGCTTATGGATTGACGCGATTTTGATTTTTGGACCCTAACCATACTCCAGTTAGTTATGATATCTATCGTCTAGATTTAAGCTCGTCAAACAAACCATACTCGAAATTGCGTATGGATAGCAGTCAAGTGTATATGTCCTCAGGTATGGATAGCGTGTGGATATAGTATAAATTGAGTCTAGATAGGATACAGATAGCAACAACGAAATCTATGGCTGATCCTCCTACCCCGCTGCCCCTCGATAAAACTGGTTTGTGGGGTTGTTGGCTGTGTTGGAGAGCTGTGTGATGCGCCCTGGCATGCGGCTGCATCACGGGTAGCTTTGTTAGCGACAAATAGGGCGGGAGAGGCGGAAGAAGGAATAGTAGAAGCGGTAGCGGTAGCATCAGGCATTTCTAGTATCTGAACTGGCCATGAGCGCACAGAAGACAAGAGCGCAAGAGTATGAAAGTACCTTTAGTAGAGACGAGAGGTAGCAAAATAGGATGAGTGTGAGTGGACCTGGATTATGCTTTGCAATGACTCGTCGATGAACGAGGGCAGTTTCCAGCAACAGCTGCTCACTGAAATGCACAAAATGAATGCCTGTCTCGCCGCCATCGAATCTGCTAGCCAAATCATTATTGCAAACCAGCAAACAACTGAGGAACATGCTCACCAACACAAGAATACGCTCAACGAGTTGATGCAAAACATCGACGTGATGATGGTGTCTAGTAACATCATGAGACACCAAATTTTTGACAGTAAGTAGAAGAAAAACATACCAAGGGGCCGGGTACGTCTGTAATAAACGTGGCACATATCATTTCCGGAGTAAGTAGAAGAAAGGACTTAGCGATTTTTTTGGCGTGATTTGACTCTTGGACTGTCCCAACGTCTAGATACACCGTTTGAACATGTCTGTACCCTGGTTGGTGTCTGGTTTAGAATGCTGCTTGGACATGTATGGTTTGGTGGTGGGTGCTCGTATCTAGAGTATGGTTTGGGTATGTTTACATCATATCTCTTCTATCTGTTTGTCCGGTTTTCTCCAAAGTCTGACATTTACAACGTCCAAATTCCTCACGTCTGGTTTGCGTGCAGATAGACTACTAGGTACGGATTGTGTCCAGGCAAACGGCCTAACCACGTACAGATAGGGTACAGGCATTTTCTCGTTTCCGCAGTGAATGTCAATGCATGATGCATAAATGGGTGTTTTAGCTACGTAGTTAATAGCCGCTAGATAGCACAGCCTGTTGGAGCACGTGAGCTCGTGCCGTTGTGCGACGCGACAAGCGGAGTTGAATATTAGGAATACTGACGCATATAGTCAACGTCTTCCCGCTCTTATCCCTCAGTTCATTCCACTACGACTGAGGGTAAGTTTGGTTCTTTTATATCTGTACCGCCAGACACTTACGAGTACATATAGTCTCTAACTGTGTCTAGGTACATTAATCTTAGTTCGTTCCACTACGACTGAGGTCTCTAACTGTGTCTAGTCTCTATAGGTTATGAGCCCTGCGCTCTCGTAAATAATCGAGAACACGGAAACCTCTAGGCACTATCGAGCCCGCCGAGATTTAACTTAGATTAAACTCGCAGGAACATCCATGCCGAGAGCGTGCGACGAATTACGTCGAGAATCAACAACGACCTTATAAGGGCGTTAATATATCTTTCTTCGGAATAGAACCCCCTGTGGATCAGACACCACTAGTCATCATAAATACCTTGAGGTCAAAATGAGACAACCTGTACGCCTCTTTCCACCTCCCCACCAACATGGCCCCTACTACGTCCACCAAACCTGGACCCCATACCCGCTCCCATAGCTCCGGCGCTAAGAACAAATCTGGCACTGTCCCATCTGCACAAGCTGCTATCACCTCCATTACCTTGAGCCAGACCGATCTTGAAAAGATCGAGGTCCTTGATCGCAGCAAGAATAACTGGGGTGTTTGGTCAGACAAAATGCAGAACTATCTCCTGCTCAAACATGGGGGCGCATACATCCTCGGAATCATGTCATGTCCGAACCCCATCCTTGACCCAAGCGGGGCTGGCCTTTTCGACCTCAACAATCTTTGTATAGTCGCCGCTCTTCGCACTCGTTCCAGTACCAAAGAGCAGGAGTTCTTACGCAGTCACACCAACGCGTACGTTGCCTGGGAAGCACTCAAATCTCGCCATGAGCAGGTCGGGCCCATTGCCCAAATCCTGCTCATCCAACAGGTTCTTTCCCTGCGCTATCGTCGCCATGAACGCCTCTCGGGCGTCAGTACTCAACTCAGCGATTTGGTTCGTCGCATCTATGCCGTTGGCCTTCCCTCTGAAGATGACTTCATCGTCATCATGATGCTCAACGCTATGTCTGAGGAACTCCCGCATGTCCGCAATCATGTGGCAGACACCCTCACCATCAGCACGTCCACGGCTTCCTACGGTCCTTCGCTCATCTCGATGTCGAGCAGCAGCTAATTGACTCCGAGTCTGCTAAGGCTTCCACAGATCTTGCCCTCATTGCTGCAAAAGGAGGCCCGTCCGGTCGCCCCTCCTGTACAAACTGCGGGAAATCAGGACATTCCGTCAAGGACTGTTTTGGCAAGGGCGGTGCCATGGAAGGCAAGCGAGATGAGGTCCTCGAATGCAAGAGAGCGGCACGTGAAGCTAACAAAGGAACTTCGTCCTCCTCTCGCGCGCCCCCCAAACCAGCTGCTGCCACTGGCAAGCCTGGCGGCCTTCGTTATGATACTGGGGGTAGGGCTTACCTTTTGGATAGTGAGACACGTCAAGCTATCTACATTGCCACTGATCAAGCTCCCGACCCAACCCCTGAACCTGAAAGTCGTGAGTTCGCTGGTCTTGCCAGTGATACTATGACCCCCACATTCATACGCAAACTCTCTGCGGTCGACGACCACGAATACACCGCGCTCTTGGCTGCTGTTGAGCCTCTCCAAACTAGCCTCGACTGGCGTCAATGCTCCCGTGCGGTCGACTTTGCAGGCCTCACTTACAAGGCTCCCAACCAGCGCAATAAAACCATTGTCGACCCCTCTATCATTCTGTTCTTCTTAGACAGCGGAGCATCAGTTCACATCAGCAACTGTGAGACCGACTTCTTTCATTTGCGACCTATCCCTCCCCGTGTTGTTAACAGCGTGGGTGGCTCATCTATTCAGGCAATCGGCATTGGTACACTTCGTCTTGTCGTCGCAAAAGGGATTCATATCACCTTAGACCAAGTTCTATTCATACCGGCAGCCACTGTTCGCCTCATTTCAGTTTCATCCCTTTGTGCCGCTCATTGTTGTATCGCGTCATTCGATGCTACCAATTGCTGGGTCCAGGCCCGCAGTGGAGCACGCATGCTGTCTGGCATCTTGACGTCTCGTCGCCTCTATGCGTTATCTGGAGGACAGTTATCCGCGGAACATGCTTATGTGTCTCAACAGCTACCCACTGTCATATCCCATACATGAGGCTTCTCGTCCGGTCCGATCCACCCGATTCCTCGGGTCCGTTCTAGAATTCATTTCCCTGAGTCCCCATTTGTATAGGCTTCTTTCTGCCCCTATGTGTCCGGATCATCCTGACAGTCAATGTCCGGGTCCATTCTGATCCGTCCGTTAGTCTATTCATTTCCCTTTCATTTAACTCGTTCCCTTTGTTCTATTTCATATCCGGCCCCACTTTCGATCGTCCGCAGTTATGTTTTACTCACTAGTATGTTTTCTACATAGCTTTATGTTCCGAGGACTGCGCTTCGGCCGGACGTCCGTCGGATACCTTATAGTATATAAACCCCTTGTAACCCGTAGTATATCCTCAGTTCGAATATCATCTTAGACTCAGTTCATTCCTCGTGTTCCCTCGGCTCTTAGGATTGTCTTCCTAGTCCGACCCTCCGAGCCTCGGGATTATATCCCTAAGGCTAAATCCCTCCGCTTCTACCTTCGGGTAGTCTGTACCTTGTTAGTTTCTACCCGGACGAAGTCTCGGGTAGTCTTCTCTCTCTCGTCCGGCCCGTCTATACCCTTCGGCCGACGATATCCAACCCCCTGTAAATTAGGGGCACGTACTTGGGTAAAGAGCGCAGCGCACGAGCTGAAGCTAAGCCCCTCCGGTCCGACCCGTTGAACACGGTCTTAACACCCACCCTTCAAACGTGGCATCGCCATCTAGGCCATGCGAATTATCGCGCCGTATATGACTTGGCACGTTCCAACAATGCCACCGGTATGCCTATCACTCTCTCTACGGAACCCCCCAAGTGTGACGCATGTATTATTGGCAAGCAGACAAGAACTAGCATCCCAAAGGTCCAAGTTGGAGATAGAGCTACCAGAAAGCTGGGGATTGTACATGTAGACTTGATGGAGCACACCGATACTGTATCCGCATCCGGTAACAAATATGTCATGGACATCATCGATGATTACTCGTCTTACGCATGGTCTATTCCTCTCGCTGCTAAGTCTGACGCTTTCCCTCATCTTCAAGCTTGGGAACGCGCGCGCGAGCTCGAAACCAACCTCAAAGTCGGTGTCTACCGATCCGACAACGGCGAATTGAAGTCTGAGGCCATGCAAGAGTGGCTCCTCTCGCTGAGCAAAAGAGATTCCGTGTAGCCTGTTAGAGTAGACTACCAATCCGTATGAGTGCGAGTGTGATAGCTCGTCCCAAGGGGATTGCTACTGAAGGAAGTCTTCGCAATAAATGCAAAGGAATCAATCCGACGGGCTTAAGATCTGAGCGGCGGACACGCAGGTGAAGTCCGGTTTTAAGGAAAGGAGTGTCCGGACGGAAGATAGTTCGCAAGGAACGGATATCTAGCGGTACGATGATCAAGGTGTCGAGGTGTTAAGGTGTCGAGGTGTCAAGGTGTCAAGGTCTCGAGGTAACGAGCTACCGGAAGTAGTCCGAGGTGCGGGAAGGGGTCCGTTGCAACGCGGAAGACTAAGGGGACTTTGTTGGTCACACGGACTTAGATATAAATCCAAGGGAGCAAAAGGGAAGTGATATTGGCAGAGTACGATGCAACTATTTATCTTAATCCGTAAGAACTCGGGATCTGTTTAAGCGACAGTAGTATAGGCGAGTCCGTAGCGCGATAATATGTAAGGGACGGTAAGCGGCCTCATGTATGGGAATGTACATGTAAAACAGTCTGCTGCTTGATCAGAGTGATAATAGGAGAGAAATGACGCACCAATGGGGATGGATGGACATGGATGGACAGGGACGAAGGGCAATTGAGGGAATCCGTCGCGGTGGAAAGGCTACGCCTTGACACTGGTGGCTGCTGGCAATGGAAGTGATGTCTATTGCCCTGGGAATCTGCTACTCTAATGAACCTTCCAACCGGGTCTGAGACCCCAGAACCCTGAACCTAACTAAGAATAGCCCCTAAGACTGCTCTGCTGCCGAACCTCCTAATACAAGTACCCCCCCCCTAAAATACGACACTCCGGGGTCGTCGAATGCTCGAGCCAAACGAGTCCCCTGTTCTCTGCCAGCCTCTATCCTTCTGCTTCTGCTAGCAGAGTGCCTGTTCGTGGTAGGAAGCGCCTTAGGCGCCTTGCGTGATACCATCCGGCCATGGGGAATCCTTCTAGGGTTTCTAGCGTGTACGAATTGATTCGTTTCGTCACGATTCGACAAGGTGCTGACCATCTCGGAATGATCTTTCGAGACGCCTTGAAGTTGCTGTCTATATCACTGGCATATACTTGAACTAACTGTCCAGGCTCGAAAACTACCTCACCTTGGTGTTCGGACACTACTCATCGACTGAACGCCGCTTTCCGTTTGATAGCGTTGGCTACTGCGTTCGCGAGGGCGTCGTTTCTTTGTTGAGAGACGTATGCTGAATGCACGTGAGCTTCGTCTGGTGTGGGTTGGTTCGTCGTGTCGTTGAGTGGGGTACGCGGAGTGTTAATGACAAGACCTAAGAGCAGTTCTTTTGGTGAGAACTTAAACGAGGGCAGAATCCGCGTGTTGAGGTGTTCGATGGCGGTCTCGAAATGGTCTGACCAGCGCGTGGTGACGGATTCGGGGTCGACGTCCGTGGTGTTGTCTTCGCCTAGATGCGGAGCGCACATATGTTTCAACCGACCTAATAATAATTTATTAGTACCTTCGACCAGTCCATTAATCCATGGTGCGTATGCGGGAGTAACGTAGCGGTTCGTATCGTGTTTTTCACACCAAATCTTGACCTCTTCGTTGTCAAAATGCTTTCCACCGTCCGTCATCAACGTTTCTGGGGTGCTGAAGTTGTGTCGTATGCTTTCGAGTCCTGCGACGGTCGATTTCGCCGTGCCGTGGTTCTTGAGCTTAAAGCCCCATACAAACTGTGAATATGTGTCTATAATCAGCAGAACGTTAGTAAATCCCCCTTTTGACTTCGGCATCGTCAGATAATCAGCCACGAAGAGCTCGAATGGATGTCGCCGTATGATGGGCTCAAGTAAAGAGTTAAGGTGCGTCGCACCGAAATTTTTATACTGCCCACATTCGAGGATGGCGGTGGTGACTGATCGGTCTAGATGGGGGCTGCATATGCGGTCGATTAGCTGTAACTTGATCATATCTCGCCCCCAATGTCCATGTTCCACGTGTTCCTTGCGAGCCAGTTCAATCGCCTCGCCTTGGGGCACGCACTCCAGTCTGCTTTGGACTCTAGTTGATGGTCCGTTAGGTATCTTCCAGAGTTTGTCGTCCTCAATGAAGAACTTCGTTTGTACACTGTGGATTAACTGTAAATACAAAATGTTCATTAGTAGTTGTTATTGAGTCAGAATGTTGGGGACGGGGCTTAGGTTCGGATGGTACAGTTATTGTTAGGAAGACAGGGCCGTCATCATGTACTTGGGGTTCATTATGTACTTGGGGCTCGTTATGTACTTGAAGGGACTTGGGTCGTGGTGCTGCGGGTGTATTAGCGATATTTTTGATGGTGTAAGGATGGGGTGAGGCTGGAATTAAAATGGTGTCAGTTCCGTAAGTTCCCTAGTCTGGCCAACTCCGGCCTTGGGGAGGAGGAAGTTGCTATCCGGGGTGAGATCCGTCGTCTCCGCGCCAAGGCATACCAAGCCAATGCGCTGATGATGGAGGTCG